GTAATTCAAATAAAGCACACAAGTAAGAGCTTGTGATAGTAGCAGCCACCCAAAGAGTTACTCTTAGAACACTGGCAGCAGATGCCTTTCTGGCCTTCAAACTTCTGAATATAAATTGGAAGAGCCTCAGAGGGGATGTTACAGCAGTACACGTAATATTGTCTCCCCTGGTGGAAATGCAGGCTCCTTGGGGACACAAACTGTTCTCTTTTTTCCTTCCTATCCCTAGCACCTACCTGGGCCTTGCACGTATTAGGCACTTTTAAATGCTTGATGACTGATTGATATAAAAAGTTAAGATGGGCTTTTAATTTTAGGAAAGTTTAGAGATGTGAAAGGAGTTTTGTAATTTCTTAAAGGCAATCTGGCCCATTCTCTACCTGATCAATTCTGGCCTCATTCATCCATTTACACTGTTTTTCCAAGACAGATTTGCTGATGTTGTTCAATCATTTCAGTCGCATCCAACTCCTCCTGACCCCATTTGGGGTTTTCTTGGCAAAGACACAGCAGTGGTTTGTCATTTCCTTCTCCAGCTCATATTACAGGTGAAGAAACTGAAGTAAACAGAGTTAAGTGACTTTGCTCATGGTCACACAGCTAGGCCAGATCTGAACTCAGGTCTTCCTATAAGACGAGCTAGAGAAGGAAATGGCAAGCCACTCCACTATCTTTGCCAAGAAACACTCAAATGGGATCATGAACAGTCAGACATGACTGAAACAACTGAGCACCAGTAACTTCTTGCCTCCAGGCCTAGGGCTCTATCCACTGCTTCACCTAGCTGCCCTGCCAAGACATAGCAATCCGTACATATGTGCACACACACATATACATGGCCGTATTATTTACATACATGTGGATATAGACATAGATATATACATATGTATCTGAATGAGTTCTAAATGAATTTTGTAATCTGGGAAACAGACACACTTCTTTAACTTGGTCTTTCCTGAGCAAATAATCAGGCCAAATTATACTCAGAGGACATGGATTTCCTCCAAGAGGTTCTGCAATGCTTTGCTTGATGCAAAAAGTAAGACGCTATGCACAAATTAGAACTGGAGAAAATCATCCACAAGGAGCTCCTCTTCACCTCCAACTCTGCTTTGGATCTTCTCCATGAGAGTTGTAAACATCTACACCGTGGTTTATGCCTTGTCTGCTGTTTACAGTTATGGGATACTTGAGTTAAGTTACCTTTGTGGTTAATAGCTTTCAAGAATCCTTAATCAATTTTGATGTATAGATGGGAAACACTTTACTGGAAAAAGAGCCCTTTATTTGGAAAAAGAACGATTGTTCCACTGAATCAAATACTTTTTTATTGGTGCCTTCTGTTTTTATATTACATTTATTTCTGTATATGCTCCTTCCTCACTCCTACTCCATGTGTCATGGTTATTTTCATGTCGATTATTCCATCAGAAGCACTGTATTATGAGATGACCAAATGTCCCCTTAAAATTATGCTTTTTGTATTCTTTGGATGCACAACAGACCAACTCTATCAGTTCCTTTATTTGCGTCTTCAGAAGAAACTTCTGAGCCGCCCTTCTAAGTAGCTGTAATTTCCTTTTGTGTTCTGATTCAGCAAAAGCAAGAATATCCAGACTTACCCAGTTTAGGTCCTCTGGTTGTGGGTTCACTCCCTGAGCATGGAACAAGGAACACCCATGATCATTTTGTCATCTTAAGCTATTTTCCATGTCCTACCACTCTTGCAAAAGGTGAATATTAACTCCTTTCAAAAGGCATAGAAGTACCACAAAAAAATTGCAACAGCCTAAAAAGCATCAACACTATCAAGGAGAAAGACACTCTAATGAAAATTGTGATAAATCACAAGAGAACTAACAAGCAATGAATGTGAAGACAATGCATAATTTAAATTAAGTACACAACTGTCATTACTATCATAACTGTATTTCTTAAAAATGCAATTTGGAGAATACGTTCACATTCTTCTTGGGGGTGGGGTGGCACTGTTGAAAACCCGAAAACCCAAAATTACAGCTATCTAAATTGATTCATTGTACTGTTATGTATTATATTACGTATTATATATTTTAAGAAATAAAAATTAAGTGGAAACAATTAAAGTATATCTTTAAAGAAAGTGCCAAACTGGTGAATCTCAAAACATACACTCCTCCAACTCCTTCAAATTCATAGACTGAGGCAATAGAGGGAGAGTACGGCCTTGAGGAGTTGTGGGAAATATTTACATTACTTTACTCTTCTCAAATCTTTGAAGTACAAAAACTCATTTATATTATGTAAATGTAATGTATGTTATGTAAAACTTTTTTACAAACTAATTTATATTAGGTGGTTAAATGGAATTGGGAGGAGGGGGCTAGTCACTAACACCAAAGAATGGGAGAACTCAGTTCTTGAGGGTTTAAGCTGATAGCAGAGAAGAGAAAGCCCAAACCCCTCAGGATACCCTAGGACCCTGGGTGGCACATGTAACACCCTGAAGGTGAGAGAGCCAGAGTATACTTGTTACATATTTACCAGACATAAAGTAATTACAGCTGATTCTAAAAGAAGACAGAACCACGCTACACAAGATTTTTAATATATACCAACACAAAAGAATTTTAATATTAAGAACTCTCATTCAAGGTTCCTACCTAAACCCAACAAATGGCACACACCTATGGCAGTCAGTATCATTAAACTCGCAGGCTTATGACTGAGGGCTCAGTTAGGTGGCAGTACGACACTGAGACTAGAGTCAGAAGACCCGAGTTCAAATGTAGCCTGACATTTGCTAGCTGTTATGACCCCGGGCAAGTTCTTTAACCTCTGTCTGCCTGGGTTTCCCAGGATGATAACAGCACTTGTCCCACAGGTTGTTGTGAGGATCAAATGAGATATCTATGCAGCGTTTTAAAATGAACACATGGCAGGCACTCAATAAATGGTCCTCCCTTTCCCTTTCTTTTTCCTTCCCATTCCCTATGGCAGTGACTCTGTCCGAACACCCCCTCCAAAACATGCAAGAAGTGGGAGGTTCTAACTGGAGCCGGTCACATGAAGTAAAAGAGGAAAAGGATCAGTGGAATCAGGTTGGGCTAAAAATATGGAACCAGCGGTGGGCTCAGAACCACAGACTAGAGGGAAACGATACACTGGTCCTGACAGAAACAGTAAACCCAGTTGAAGTACTCTTCCCCTCACCCTCCCCCCCGCCCTTCTCAGGGCTCGATCTGGCTTGATGGAACTTGAGACAAGGAGAATGATGCCTCCTTGCCTCATTCCAAAGGTGGTACCACCCCTGAAAGGCTGGACCTTGCAAGTCACTCCTCATGGCTGTGCTTCACATGAGCTTGGCTGCTAACGCACCTGATAAGGATTCCACCCTGGAATCTCACAGGGCTCATACCAAGGGAAAGAACAGGAGGCACACTGGCATGCTTTGAACCCACGTGCTCATGGGCTGACCTGGTGATGGTCAGGTAGGGGGTGATGATACCTTGTCTCACCCCCACTATTCCTCCATAGTTCAGAGAGTTGTCCTTTTGCCTTAAGCCAGCAGGAAGGAGAGATCGAGTGTTTTCTTTGAAGCCTGTTCCAGTTCAACAGTACCACCCCATCCCCAAAAAAGGCCCCTCCTTACTAAGTAGTGAGTGAAGAGAAAATAGCCACAGAACAAGTATGTATCTTGTGAAGCAGAGAGCAGGGCTCCTCCATTCCATTAGCCAGCTTCCACATCAGCACTGGAGTGCAGCCCTGCAGACTAGGCTCTCACTGGCTTAGTCTTATGGGAAAAGGCTGCTCATAAAAAATGCATCATTCGGTCAGTTGTTGGGGCTTCCTTGCCTCCGCTGGTCATGGCAATGCACCTTCCAAGTGTAGGTGAGGTCTACCACTTTTGGCTTCTTTATGCAGGCCACCAGAAAGCTCTACCAAAGACCCTAAGCCAATTTAGTATCAACAATTGGTTCAATACCTTTCGTGGAAAAACGAGTCTACTCTTGCCCAGGATCACACAGCTGGTAAGGCAGGATTCAAACTCAGATCTTTCTGATTCTGAGCAGACTGCTCTACCCATTCTGCCAGCTTGCTGGTCCTCTCTTTACATGCGGAGAATAACCGCCAACTGTCTCCACTATCACCTACCACCAAGACGTCCAGCACTCAGTCCTTCCAAGGTAGGGGAAAGCCTGAGATTACTCTACTTTTCATTTACTTCTAGTCAGTCATTCTGGTGGTGCATTCCTTCAGGGGATCATCACATTGTTTCTTTTTGGTTTGCGTTTTTGGTTTGTTTGTTTTTTCCCGTTTTTCTCACTTTTTCCTTTACCCAAAATAAGTTTTTCTATCAACATTGCTATGCCAGGCTTCTTCATCCTTGAGGTCAGAGCTGTCCAGTAATGGCCGTCAAGCCATAGAAGATCCTCTAGAGAATTCTTAGGACCTTTGCTACCACAGGGAAGACTATGGTAAAAGCAATATGTGCTAATTTCTCCTAAGATCCTATTAAAGAGAATGTGCAAGTTTTTGTTTATTTTTCCCAAAAAAGGCAGGGAAATTATCTGTAAGATTTGATTGTTTCAACAAGGACTGAAATTTGAACTTCCTGAGTTCAAATCTGGCCTCAGACACTTACTAGATGCTTGACCCTGGGTAAGTCATTTAAGCCTGTCTGACTCAGTTTCCTCATCTGTAAAATGAGCTGGAGAAGGAAATGACAAACCACTCTAGTACCTTTGCCAAGGTACTACCAAATGGGGTCACAAAGAGTTTGCCACAACTGAAAAATGACTGAACAACAAAAAGACCATAAATGGATCAATTCCAGTTTCAAGCCTGAACCACCAGACAAGCCTGACCTAAAATACCAATTGATATGCATTTGATTTATAATCATATTTCTAAAACATCTTTTCTATGCCCCAAGTAGTCTCAAAATTATACGTTACTAAAATAACAACTTGATGCACCAATGGATTGCCTTCTTTTAAACAACAGGAGGCTCAGATTACCTGATAATCAGCTGGCCCAGGAATTAGATAGCTGTCTTCTTTAGCAGAATGGAATGTTCGAGGAACAGAGGATCCAAATGCACTCCTCTTTGTTCTCTGCATATAATGATCTTTTAAAGGGTCAGATGAAGTAGTCTTCTTAAAAATATCATAATACCCAGGACCTAAAAAGACATTACAAATACTTAAGTCATAATACATTTCAACTGCTATTTTAGAAATGAATATTGACGTGAAGATTTTATTAGGTAGAAAGTCTGAAGATATGTTTAAATAAATGATAAGCAAATTTATTCAGTTAGAAATACTGCATAACTTTCAAACACGCACAGCTACACATGCTTTGTCAGTTACAGAAATCATTTCTGTGGGTTATTATCAGAGTCAGTCAGAAATCAACCGTTTTTGTGCTATTTCCTTGTAGTCCTGGAATATGTATTTCAGAAGTCCCCTGTGCCCACAAGGATTCTTCCTTCTAATCAGATGGTTCCTCCCAGATATTCCCCTTTGAGAAGGGCACTCAGGCCACTCTCCTTCGGGCTTCTCCCCATGGCTCAGAGAGTGGCTACCACTCAAAGCTAATGTTATCACAATGAAAATATGATGCCAATTACTCATCAAATTTAGGACAATTTGAGCAATCTAACCAGTAAATTCAATGCTTCCTCAAATGTAATGAATTGTGGCTAAGTCCCCCGTTTACCTTTTGCCACATAACCATGGCACAGCTTTTTAATTTGTCAAATAACGATGATGTTTTCTTTTGTACCTTGTTCCTGATTACGAAGAACTGGTTTTACTTAGGAAACTTGCTCAATTTAAAAGCTGCAATGCTACATTATTAAGGAAAATAGGGTTAAAAAGCCTTCATGATACATCACACCATTTATCTTTGAACTATGAGGCTCACTCATATTAGGAAAATAAGCATATGGTTCTTTATGTCATCCCTAAAACAAATCAGGAATGGTCTGGTGACATTTAAATAATGTTGTAAAATGGTAGTTCATAATTATATAACATTTAATAGTTTACAAAGCATTTTATGTACGTTTTCTCATTTGAACCTTACAACAGCCCTGTCAGGTAATGCAGATACCTGAGTCACTTATAAACTAAGAGATCTCTCTGAGGATCAGAGAGGTTAAGTCATTTTCCAAAGATCATAAGGCTAAAAAAATGGCAGCTATAATTTGGACTTGGGTCTTGACCCAAATACAATGTTTATTCCATTTTATCACACGGCCTCTTTTCATGCTTTCTTTTCCTTGTGTTCTGGGCTAAGAATCTATCCTTTGTATTCCAGGCCAGGTCTAAACTAGGCAGTTCTAGGGATTCAGGATGAAGAGTTAAAATGGCACTTGTGGAGTATAAAATACAATAAAAATCTAATCACAAGAAATTAAAAGGATACAACTTTTAGTTCAAAAGGATATAAAATGCTACTTCCCTCTGTCTCCTCCAGCACGTGAAAGATAAAATGACTGAGAACATAAAGTTTCAAGCTTCTGAGCATACTGATGTATTGAGCAATGCATGCCAATTGCATAACAAATTGAAATCAGACTTCCTCATCTTAGGGCTGGACCCCCAAATGCAAAGGGAGACAAATTAACCAGGGTACGGAATTAGGTAATCTGATTTCTAATTGGATGAGAGATTAGGGACTTCAAAAGTTTGGAGGATGAGAGGAAACAGGTACAATTCCCTGGAATCAAAAAAAGAGGTGTCCCATGGCCCACAAGTATCTGTACGCAATCAAAGGAACGTAGAAACAATAACTGATTGATCAGTATGGGGCCAGTTTTCAGATAAAACATATGGGTTGCTTGAGATGTATAATTGTGAGAAAACTCATCAACATTTCTATCTGACCAGGTTTCTGGTCAGCATAACCTAGGTCCTTAGCTAAGGGTAGGTAGCAGCAAGCAGAAATGGTCCAGCAATGCAGTGAAGTTTTCTCCCAGCTGCCACAGCTGAACCGAAATTGCACTAGAATCATAACTGAATAGAAAGGGAACTGAGCTAGCTCCAGAACTGAGTCACAAGATGGAGTGCATGTGGTTCGCCTGACTCCCAATACCACTTCTTGTTCTAATCCCCTCAATTCATTCACTCTAGTCACCATAGCAATCACTCATTCCAGGAGGAATGTGGGAAAGTATTCTCCAGTGGGAACTCAGATATAACCACAGATGCAATCCATCCCTCTGTCTCCCCACCCACCCACCCAACCCTGCCCTTACAGTTCAGAGAGCAAAGAAGTCAAATGACCCCTGTGCCCTTAAAAGGAGCAGCTCAATCTACCTGCTGCTGACGTCGTGGCCCAGTTCAGAATAAAGTGAACATAATCAAGAAAACAATTTATACAATCAACCCAGCACAGTAAAGGAAAATAACTGTGAAAGACTGAACAATGCAATGACCAATCATGAATTCAGAATGATGAAGAACATTTTTCCCCCGCCAACAGAGATATGACCCAAGATGCAGAACAAAACATACGTTTTCAGACACAGCCAGTGTGTGAATTTGTTCTGCATGACTAGATCTGTTATAAGGAAGAGGCTGAGGGTAGGGCAGCAATGGAGGAGGTAAGAGTGCTCACAATGCTAAGAAAATTGAGGAAAGAAATAAAATCAATGAAGTATTTAAAAATTACACAGAAGAGAGCAGAAGGAAGTTCAGAAAGCAACACAAGCAGGATAGTGTTGGAGCCACCAGGTTAAACTGAAAATACACTGTATATATAGGGGAAAGCTGTACGTAATAAAGACTCATAGTTTCACATGTCTGGTTTTCTCTTCTTTGTATAGAGAAATGTTGGTGTTTGTTGATGTTGGCTGATTTTGGAAAGCTGTCTCTATTTGTTGACTATTCTCTTCTCACACAGGCCTCGACCCTTTCCAATGTGGCTTCCCAGTCCGCTGCTGACCCTTCCGTCCTCTAGAACACTCTCTCTTTTCCAGGGTTTTCTAACACTGCCTTCTTCTGGTTCTCTTCCTGTCTAATCCTCCTCAGTCTCCTCTGCTGGCTCAACATCCATATCATGCCCCCAACTCTGAACAATCCCCACAGTTTTGTTCTAGGTCCCCTTTTCTCATTCCTCCACACATTTGATAACTTTGTTAAATCTCATGGTTTTATGCCGATGACTCACACACATGTGACTCATCTATATGGCTGGCTCATACACGTGTATATAGAAATATACATGTATATAGATATATCCTATATGTACCATAGTACATATATCTAACATAGTTGCACATACATGCATTTACATGTATCTAGAACACATGCACATACGCATATCTCTCCCAGGCTCGCCTCTGAGTTTCAGTCACATATCAACATCTGCCTATTGCACATCTTAAAAGATATATCCTGGGCACATCTCAAACTCGACATGTTCACAACTAAATTCGTTTTCCCCCAAACCCTCCCCTCTTACCAATCTCCCTCTCTACGTTGAAGGTACTGCCATTCTTCCAGTATCCCGGGTTCATAACCTTGGCATTAGTTCAAATTCTTCATGTTCCCTACAGTTTTGTCCCAGACTCTTTTCTCTTCTCCCTTTATGCATGAGCTCTGTGAATTTAACTACCATCTCTATGCAGTTTTATATATATATATATAGCATCAGTCTCAATACTGAACTTTAGTCCCACATCACTAACTACTTATTGGAGCACTACAAAACAAAATGGATGTTTTAGAAGCTTGTTCAAGTCAACATATCTAATACTTAACTCATCTTTCCCCTTAAACCACACCCTTTTCCAAACTTTCCTATTTCTGCCCAAAGTACCACCATTCTTCCAGTGTCTGCAGGTTGTAACCTAGGAGCTATCCTGGACCCCTTCCTTGCCCCACCTACATAATCAGTTGCCAAAACTTTCAGGCTATTTCTACTTCCTTAACATATTTCACATCTAACTTCTCTCCACTCACATAACTATCCCCTTAGTTCAAGCCTTCATCAGCTTTTATCAGACTTTGACAACAGCTTCCTAAACCAATCTTCCCTCCTTCAAGTCTTTCACCACAGCAGGACCTTTTATATAATTCTACCACAGCAATTTTCTTTAAGTGCAGCTCTAACCACTTGCCTCACCTGCTCAAACCAACAGTAGTAGCTTCTTATTGCATCTAGGATAAAATATAAATTTCTCTGCTTTGTTTTTAAAGTCCTTCATGACTGGCCCCAGTCTATCTCTCTAGCCTCACTCCACACTATTTCCCATCCCACTCACTGAGATCTAGCCAAACTGTCACACCCATGACACTCTATCCACCATCTCCTTCCCTGTGCTGTTCCCCATGCTTGGAATTTATTTCCTCCTTACCTCCATTGTTCACCATTTCTCTCTTCCTTGAAGATGTAGCTCAAGCGCCATCTTCTGCATAAAGTTTTTCCTGATCCTCCCCCCTGCTACCTCAACTACTAGTATCCTCCCTCCCAAACTACTTTCAATTTAGCTACTTGTATATATTTGTGTGTATTAGCTTTATATTTAAGGTGTATATGTTTTTCTATGTCCTCGTTCTCTCCCCCATTAGAACTTAGGCTTCTTGCAGAGCCCCCAGTGCCTAACACTGTGCCTGACACATAGGAGACAATTAAAAGATTCTTGTGGAATAACTTAAGATCGTCAAATTGATACTTAGAAAAAATATTTTTCATGGTAAAGGAGAAGGGAGACAGGAATAACCATTTATATAGCTCCTACTATGTGCAAGCACTGTGTTAAGCACTTTTTATAAGTGATTAGGACCATTGTTGAATATCACTTAGAAAAGTCTGCTCATTCTCTACTAACACCCTAGTCAAGGATGCCTTTAATTCTTATACGGATGACTTGTGGAAAGATTGTATACAGGTGGAAGACCAGGCATATCAATATATAGTCAAAGTGTTTGCCTTTTTGGTATTAACAGGATCTGAGATTTTTTTCAATGCCTTTTATATCCTTTTGCCCTACTCTGCATATCTCTTACACCCTCACAACTGTGTTTTCATCACTACAAGTCCTCTATACACACTCCATCCAATCTGGCTGCCCTCTTCCTTTGTTTTGTAAGTTCAATATTTGCTGACTGAAATGCTTTGCTACCTCCTTCGTTCTTGTTGTGGCACTAAACCTTCTGTAAGAAGTCTTAT